ACAAAATGACCTACTGATTAAGTTGCTTCTGATCTGATAGTTGCAGGAATAATGTTGTCCAGCTGCTTAACCTCGATCGTCTACTTTATCGGATCCTACGTGTGAAACACTTACACGTTAAGTCATCGACTTAGTGAGACAATATAATAATATCAATAAATATAAAGGAATTGTTAAAATGAGATGGGTTGCAATGATAAGATGTATGTAAACAACACAATAACTAGAATCATGTTTCTTACACATATACTTATTAAATTCACATTTATAAGTTCATCTTATTAAATTCATTAGCCCATGGTACCATATTGAGAACCTAAGGTATGTGAGTATTGTGAGGTTGTGCACTATGTTGTCACCACAGCTCGTATAATTGCACCGAAGTGTCACGTAGAATTGCATCGGAGTGCCGCGTAGAATTGTACTATAGTGCCATATAATAATGTCCATAATGATCGTATATCATTCCTTAAGAATCATATACATATACTAGGGATCAAGTATGTGTCTCACAAGACTTTACACATGTTTCAAAGAATATATATATATCCCGAAGGACCGCGTAGACCCTTTACCCTTGGCATGCTAACTATACCTATAGTTCTCATCTACATAACATGGGCTTTCACAATTCACATAATTTGTATCACGTAGACATTATTTTCATACCTTTATCACATAGCTCATACACTTTTTTCTTGCATATTCATGTCACATAATACATATAGTATGAATTCATGTCATGTATCATAATATGAAATGCGATCATGTATTAAAATATTAAATCTAGACTTATCACAAATCTAGAACTAAATAGAATACATATTCATGTTATGCATATGCATTCACTTAGATTTCTTTGTCTTTCCCTCTATCAATCCTACTTGTCGATTGTTCCAGAACTCGTTTAAGCTCGATATCTACATAGTAATTCATTGATACTTATCAATATATTAATTAATACATTCTAAACTATCATTTTTTAGGCTAAAAGAAAAGTCATTTTCATCTTTTAATGGAGGTATGCATCGATGCACTACACTATGCATCGATGCATAAATCCTATTCGATGTTTGTATTTAATGGGGTGCATCAATGCACTCCTTATGCATCGATGCATCGATGACATTCGATGTTTTCTTTTAAATTTTAGCATGAAAATATCTTCTTAGTGTACTTAACACTTTATATTTCCCTTTCTTTTTATATCCTTAACTTGCATACTCTTACTTAAACTAATTATTATCAATTCCATACTTTTAAAACTTAAAAAATCCAATTCTCCATGTAGAGTTTAAGAATCTAACACAAATTCCAACATGTTCTAATTTGAATTCTAACACTTCATACCTCTTAGTTAGTTTTATGACAAGTCAAATCCCACATCTAATTCTTATTAGGAACTCTAATCCAAGATTTCACTTTTCTATTTCCTTTCTTTGATTTTTCATATTCTCCTCATCTTATGGTTTTAAGATAATCTAAGCTTTCCTTAAGCTTAGTTATCAACTAAGGATCAATAAGCAACCTTAAATTCATCAAGAATTTGGTCACAAGAAAACTCACCTTTAGCTTGGCTTCACGGCAGAGAAGGAGAAGGAAGAAGAAAGAAATATCCAGAACCTTGTTTCTCTCATTAGCTTTCCACGTGGTTTATTAAATATCCTTAAGAAACATTTAATTATTTCCTTGTCAAAAGACTCATTTGCCCCTTTAGTTCCCCATGCTTTGCTAATTGATCCTACACCAAATATTTCAATCAATTCCTTCAACTTTCAATTTATCAACTTTGATCACTAAATTTTAAAACTTCACAATTTAATCACTAACCCCGGTATGGGGATGTTACACCCCCCCTTCCCCAATGGAGTTTGTTTTGTCAATTTCGTAAACAATTTCATCCAATGCTTGGAAAAGAGAAATGATCAGTTGGTCATCTTTTGAAGCGTCCTAGGATGCTGAATTCAGTATAGTTCTTCAATGATAATTATTGCTGTTATCATGTGCTTTGTCCAGGTTTCAGAGGCTGGGGAAAACTTTAGTGTCGGGCAGAGGCAATTGCTAAGTCTTGCACGTGCATTATTGAGGAGATCAAAGATACTTGTTCTTGATGAAGCAACTGCAGCTGTCGATGTCAGAACCGATGCCCTTATTCAGAAAACTATTCGGGAAGAATTCAAATCATGTACCATGCTTATCATTGCTCACAGGCTCAATACAATCATAGACTGTGATCGTATTCTTCTGCTTGATTCTGGCAGGGTATGTACACAATTCTCGTGCTTGATTTACTCTTATTGCAAGCTTAGCTATGAAAAGTGTAATTTATTCATCATTAGTATACCCTAATGCTTCCGCTTTGCATTTGGTTGATGCATCGATGCTCTTATTTTGATACCAGGTGCTGGAATATGATTCACCGGAGGAACTATTGTCAAATGAAGGCAGTGCTTTCTCTAAGATGGTTCAAAGTACTGGGGCTGCTAATGCCCAATACTTGCGGAGTCTAGCACTCGGAGGGGAAGGAGAGGAAAGGTTGGGCAGAGAAGAGAACAAGCAGTTGGATACACAGAGAAAATGGCTGGCATCTTCTCGTTGGGCTGCTGCTGCCCAGTTTGCACTTGCTGTTAGCCTCACTTCATCGCAGAATGACCTTACTCGCTTGGAAATCGAAGATGAAGATAGTATCCTCAAGAAAACAAGGGATGCTGTCATAACTCTGCAGGGAGTTCTGGAAGGGAAGCATGATAAAACAATCGAAGAGTCGCTAGATCAGCATCAAATATCTAAAGATGGATGGTGGTCAACCCTTTACAAAATGGTAGAAGGTACAAAAACAAATATTCCATCTATTGCTTTACAATGACCATCGTAAGTTGTTTTGGTTTGTTCCTTGAACCATCTTACAAGTTTCTGCTTTTCTTCTTACAGGTCTTGCTATAATGAGCAGATTGGCAAGGAGCAGGCACCATCAATCAGATTACGGTTTCGACAATAGATCTATTGACTGGGATCACATTGATACGTAGAGTTCAATTTGGATTCATAACTGGATATTGCTTCTCAAAGTTGTCCAAAGTTTTCATAAAGGATTGTTAACCCTACTTGTAACTTTTGAGCTTGCGCACAAAGTTTCCAACCCCATAAAAAGAATTCAGTTTTTCTTTTCCCAGATGTTCAGAGTTCATATCATCTCTTTATTAATAGTGTAAACTGCATCCGTGATCACATAATTGTTGATGGATTCTTTTTTTAACTATTGATATTTCAGTTTTATCAATTAGACTATTTAACTATTAACGTATTGTTAATTAAGTTATCACGAATTGACATAATACTAAAATAATATAATTACATACCTAGTTCTCATTATTTATATATTTTGTTAATTTAATTTATGTGTTACCATTTGATTTGAGGGTATTTTCTTAATTCTAATTTATTCAGTCTAATAAGTTTTTCATTCAATTAGGTAGTCAAAATTGAAAGATTAATGATAAAAATAGTTAAGTAAAGTCTGATTGATAAAACTAAAAGATCAATAGTCAAAATATAATTTGTCCAAATTTAAGTGGTCATGTATGTAATTTACCCTTGCTAATAAACTCAATCAGTTTCCTTGAAAAATATACAAACTCCATTGTTTGCTCAATCTAGATCTCTAAAGGTTTTTTCGTTCAAATTTTTTTATGTTATTACAAAAAAAATTAACAATTTAAAATTTTTAATACAAACTTCGAGCCAAAATTATTTATATTTAAAATAAATTTTAAATTTATCTAAAATCACAAAAAAAAAATTAACAATTTAAAATTTTTAATACCAAACTTCATTACGAGCCATTGTTGGTCACCCCTACTGCTAGCATTGCCATCGATCAATCACCCAACCATCGTTGTGGTCATTGTTCGTCAAATCCAAAAATCAATCTTTACACTCAAGCCTGCAACTAGTTGCGTCGAACTTCTTCATCGATGCTAATAATTTGTCAAACTATAATTTCATATGAGTTTCTTAAATTCTCAAACAATACTTGAAGTTAATTTTAAGTGTTTAAATATTTTTTTCGCTTAAAGTAAATGTTTAATGTTTTCGATATTACTCTTTAAGTGCATACATCGTCATGCTCACTAATTTTTTTTATTTGACATGTGTCATGTTTATAAATTTTAAAATTTTTTATTTAAAAAAAACTAAACTTTTTCTGAAATTATAAAAAACCCTTCAAAATATAAAAAATTCTTAATTTCATCTCATTTCCATTGTCGGCCGCTGCCAACCGACTGATACTCCAACGATGAGCGATCACACGAACATTCACTAATCGAACCCTCATGTTTCACACAATGATTACAGTAAAAAATGGACAATTACATAGGTGACGACTCTGATTAGATGATTCCAACAAAAGATCATAATTCATTCTACTGTATATTGAAATCTGATGAGAAGTGGCTAATAGTAAAGGAAAATGATTAAGGAACATCAAAGAAAATCGATGTAGGTAAAAGAGTTTAAAGCTAGGGTTTTGATAGCTTTGGGGATTTTTAGATTTAATAAAATTTTGATTTTTTTTAAATAAATTATACTTTTAAGATTTTTATTTTAAAATTAAAATTTTAAAATTATGCAAATATGACACGCATTAAATAACAATAGAATTTAACTATTGTAGTAGACCAAACATTAAAAGAATAACATGTAAATGTTAAATATATACTCTATGAACGATTTTTTTTTAAATACCTTAAATTAAAAAATATATATATATATAATTAAACCGTAAGAATTTTGAACAAAAAAACGTGGGTGGCGGGGGGGGGGGGGAACATGAACGATTACGGTAAGAATTGACGTAGAAAACATGAAGAATTGAAGGCATAAATATTTTAGCTCGACTTTAAAAGACTTGAAAAATGAAGTTTCGTCTTCATTTCCAGTCATAGTTTGTTTCTTCAGCCACATTTAAATAATTTTTTCATAGAAAAAGTAAAAACGCCTCCATCCCCATCCCCTTAACACAAATATAATCACAGATCTGCTGCTGCAGCAGCATTGCTCCTAGTTTATATCTTTTCATAGTTGCCCATTTCACTTTTGGATCTCTCAATAAAACGAATTAGATCTACAATATACACTCCCAAATTGAAATCCAAAAATGGACAACGGAGATCTAGAAGGTGGCGGCGGAGACTTGCCCTTTCATGGAAAAGGCGGCCGCAGATATAGCCCGGTGGGACCTCACGATCGCGCGGTTCTCGAGATGTCCTCCATGGATCCTGGATCTTCCTCCTCCGACCCCAAATCTTCTGTCAAGTAATTCCCCCTTCTCTTTCTCTTTTCCCGAGAGTGTTTTTCCTTCTTTAATCATATTCGATAATCATCTATATATTGACAGGAAAAATAATGTAGGAACGCTAGGGAACTTGGATTCAGATGGAATTGAAGGTTCGAATCCGGAAAATGGTGGAGCCAATGGTCTCTACCGTGAAAATAAATTGGAATTGTTTGGTTTTGAATCTCTTGTGAGTATTCTTGGTCTCAAAAGGTAGGTTTTCATTAGTGCTTGCTTTCTCATTTTTCGCTCAATGATTGGATGATGCTTGCTTCATTACTAATGGATAATTTTCGATTGCTGGAGAAGTTTACAATTTACATTACACCCGAATTTTTGAACTTATGATTATTGTCTGTTTTTGACTTGTTTTCCAGTATGACAGGAGAGCAAATTCCTGCAGTCTCCAGCCCTAGAGATGGTGGAGATGTTTCCATTACCAGCGGTCAACCAAAGGTAAGCGCTCCTTTTGCTTTACCATGATTGATTACGGTTATACTGCTCTTCTTTTTTGGCATTGTGTTTCATCAACTTCAATGTTGTTTTGTTGAGTGAAAGAATATAAGCTATAAGACATGGATAAAATAAGGGATATATTGAAAAATATGGTTTAGTATGCTATTACCCTGTTATTAGTTTTTGAGTTTTTCTGATTCATAGTATGATGAAAGAACGATAAGGTACTAATTTAATATCCTTCCTGCTAGGCATATATGTGAATCTTGTCCAAATTCAAAATATAGTTAATGGAGTATTTAAAAAATTCATTTATGTAGGATGTTGAAGCTAGGAACTGGTGCCCACGTTTAATTTCCTTGAATTTCTGTCAATTATGTTTGTCTCAGTTGAAATGCTAGCAATTATTGATAAATTTTGTCTATGTGCAACAGCTTTATGAAATACTATGCAACGTATCAGATTATTTTTTGTTTCCTTGTCCTCTTTCTTAACTAAACATAAGAAACTGTACTTTTCATCCTACTCATGCTGTTCCATGTTCTGTGCATATATCATGCAGCCTTCTGATGTGAAAATGGGTACAATGATGGGGGTCTTTGTCCCATGCCTGCAAAGTATTTTGGGTATTATCTACTATATCCGTTTTTCTTGGTAAGTCTTATCTCTTTCGATGTTTATTTTTTGATTTCTGCACCTATTATTATGTCTTATCATGTATGTTTGTCATGGGCTAGAACCCTCATATTGCCTCAGGAACAAGGCACAAAAGAGAAAAAGAAAGAACTAGCCTAAGTAATGTAAAGCACAATTTTGTTTATGTGCAAATCTTTTTATTGTGTGTTTGTATGTACATATATATGTGTATACACTTATAGTAAACTTTATGTATATAAACCTTAAGAGGTACACTAAACTCAAAAGTATGGTCTAGTTTATCTACAAAACATTCTATTTTTTATTGGTCAATATGCATGATTTCCTTATTGCAGGGGCGGAGTTATACAATTTATTTTGAGGTGTCAAATTTAAAAAAAAATATTTTGAGGTGTTAACAAATTTATTTTGGGGTGTCAAATTTAAAAAAAAAATATTTTAAAGTGTTAATTTGTAAATTTCAAAAATATGACACCCTCACATGTAGCTGGCTCTGCCAGTGCCTTATGGCCCGTGTCTTTTTTTGAATACTCAAATATTGAGAAGTATAGAGTTTGATACTATCCTTTTCTTACTAAGATATTAAAAAGAACTTGATTAGGCGGGCTTTTTCCATTCCTATTGCCTTAAAAAAGGCCCACCAGACGTGCCTGTTCAAATGGGCCTCATCCAAAAGGATATGGAGCACTTTTATTCTCTAATGCTAAGACACAAGGTGCAGGCATGCCAAAATGCACACCTTGACAACACTGATGCGCAAAACTGTATGTACTAAAGTAAATTGAATGCATGCTTTGTTTCGAATAGATGGTGCTGGTTTAAAATTTTAAGCTGAGCTTCTTTTGCAAGAAAATGAATTTCACAAAACATTGTCGTGTTATTTTTTATTAATGCTGTAAGAAAAGTGTTTCAGTAGAGGAAAAAAGTATATTCTTATTTTATGCCCTTGAACTGGAACAATAAAGTAAAATAGTTAGATTTGATCATTTTTGTTGCTAAGGTTCATTTATGTGAATTGCAGGATTGTTGGCATGGGCGGCATTGGCGAGTCACTTCTGCTGGTATCACTTTGTGGTCTGTGTACTTTCTTGACAGGAATATCATTGAGTGCTATTGCAACCAATGGTGCTATGAAGGTATACATTCTTTATAATTATATATATCCTTGACAGTCATTTTAAGTTCTCATGCGACTCATATTTAAGAGATTGTGATGTCTTAAGCCAATAATCTACTATGGAGTTGGATTCTATTGTTGAATGTTGTGTTGCCTTGTTTTTGGAGATTTCTTTCACTATATAATTGGGTGGTGAATTTAGTGATTTTCTTGTTTATTACTGCTAGGGTGGTGGTCCATATTATCTCATTGGTCGTGCCCTTGGTCCTGAGGTTGGAGTTAGCATTGGATTATGTTTCTTTCTTGGCAATGCAGTTGCGGGAGCTCTGTGAGTGTATCTTCTTGTCCTTTTCTTTTTTATGACTATTTTCTGCATAGCTCACAGTGAATTCTGGTACCTTGATAGCATAATGTGTTATGTATTTAACAACAGCCAACTCATGCTAATACTAGTATCTTCTTGTGCTTCTGGTTTTGGTTATAGTTATGTTTTGGGAGCTGTAGAAACCTTTCTAAAAGCTCTTCCTTCTGCTGGAATTTTTACCGGTATGGATTGATTACTATCAACAGCACAATTGCTGGTAACTTTGTTCTTTACCACACACAGTGGTTCTTGGTAGCAATTGTCATGATATAGATTTAAATCCGTTGAAAAGAATTTTGTACCAATTCATTTCTAATATTCTCTTGCTTGTAATGTAGAGACCACTACAAAGGTCAATGGCACGGTGTCGGAACCTATACAAATTATAAGTACACATGACTTGCAAATTTATGGGATTGTTGTGACTATTATACTTTGCTTTATTGTGTTTGGTGGGGTGAAAATGATCAACACGGTTGCCCCTGCTTTCCTTATACCCGTTTTATTCTCAATATTTTGCATATTCATCGGGATTTTTACGGCAAGAAAGGATGATCCTGCATGTAAGTGTTTTCTCTCTCTCTCCCTCCTCCCTCTTTCCCTCTCATTTTGCCACAGAAAACTTGTAAAGTTGGTACGGTATGTCTGAACATAACAGTGTCATATTGGTTGTTGCAAGTCATATGCCATTGCTCAGAATCAATCTGAATTTTCTCCTTTGTTGCATGTGCATGTTTTCCTTGTCATTTTCTGTCCTTTACCTTGATTTATGTGGATATGTGAAACATTTTGCTTTTGATGTTTGATACAGCTGGAGTTACGGGCTTGACTTTAGAAAGCTTTAAAGATAACTGGAGTTCAGATTATCAGAATACAAACAATGCTGGTATCCCTGATGCTGAAGGAGATGTGCACTGGAACTTCCAGTAAGAATCTCTAAGGCTCCTAGCATTGTAATTATTATAGTTTAAAGTGCTTGCATTATGATAGTTCATGATCAAAGGCTGAGATTCTACATCTGGAGGACTATTTTTAGACAAACTTTCACCAATGAGTACACTTTCGCCTATTTGTATTGGAACTTGTATGATATTGGAGGTCTGGAGGAAAACAATGATCCTAAGCTTAATTGATAGCCAGACCCCTGATGCTGAAGGAGATGTGCACTGGAACTTCCAGTAAGAATCTCTAAGGCTCCTAGCATTGTAATTATTATAGTTTAAAGTGCTTGCATTATGATAGTTCATGATCAAAGGCTGAGATTCTACATCTGGAGGACTATTTTTAGACAAACTTTCACCAATGAGTACACTTTCGCCTATTTGTATTGGAACTTGTATGATATTGGAGGTCTGGAGGAAAACAATGATCCTAAGCTTAATTGATAGCCAGACTGCTGGTCCAAAATATCTCTCCCTCCACCTTTCTAACTATCAAAAGAAAAGAAATGTTGTTCCCCTACTATTTAGTGTTGATCTTCATTAACCAAGATTTATCTGAAGCCTGATGTGATGGATTTATTTTTTTTCTTTCATGGAATTTCTAACTCCTTATTTGTATGTTTCTTCAGTGCTTTGGTCGGTCTCTTTTTTCCAGCTGTAACAGGAATCATGGCTGGTTCAAATCGATCTGCCTCACTTAAAGACACCCAGCGTTCTATCCCGATTGGCACGTTGGCTGCCACACTTGCCACTACTGGTCTATATTTAGTTTCTGTCTTACTTTTTGGAGCTGTTGCCACCAGAGACAAGCTTTTGACTGACAGGTATCATATTTTCTAATCTCACACAAATTCTCCTTTGACTCTGCTGGTAATGTTTCCCATGTGCATTCTTTTATTTATGATTTAAGGTTTAGGAATTATTGTAATGCTAAACCACTTTTGATGCAGGCTACTTACGGCTACAGTTGCTTGGCCTTTTCCGGCTATCATTCATATTGGAATTATTCTTTCAACTTTAGGTGCAGCACTTCAAAGCTTGACTGGTGCCCCTCGCCTCCTTGCAGCAATAAGCAACGATGATATTCTTCCTGTTCTCAATTACTTCAAAGTTGGAGACGGGAGTGAGCCTTATTTGGCTACCCTCTTTACTGCCTTTATCTGTATGGGTTGTGTGATTATTGGGAATTTGGATCTTATCACACCAACTGTAACCATGTTTTTCCTTCTGTGCTACTCTGGCGTGAACTTGTCCTGTTTCCTTCTGGACCTTCTAGATGCTCCTAGTTGGCGTCCTCGATGGAAATTTCACCACTGGAGCTTCTCTCTCCTTGGAGCATCACTTTGTATTGGTATCCTTCATTGTGTGCAAGCAATCTAGTTTTCTGACATTTTGTGCGCTGTATAGATGAAATCCCCCCTGTATATTAGCATGTTTTATTTTGCATGGGAAACTGAGGCTCACAACTGTTCTCTTTCCTGCAGTGATTATGTTCTTGATCTCATGGTCATTCACTGTAGTGTCTCTGGCCCTTGCCAGCCTCATATATTATTATGTGAGCATTAAAGGAAAAGCTGGGGACTGGGGAGATGGTTTCAAAAGTGCTTATTTTCAACTAGCCCTTCGCAGTCTTAGATCTCTGGGAGGTACATCGTATAATCTGTGTATCTTTAGCAATTGCATTTCTGCGTCTATATTCATGCTCTACTAGTATTTTATACATATTGACACAAGTATTGCCTCTTCTGTTCCTGTTGACCTATCATTTTGTTTGCAGCTAACCAAGTTCATCCAAAGAATTGGTATCCCATTCCTCTTGTATTCTGCCGGCCTTGGGGTATGCTGCCGGAGAATGTACCTTGTCATCCAAAACTTGCCGACTTTGCCAACTGCATGAAGAAGAAAGGCCGTGGAATGTCCATATTTATCAATATACTAGATGGGGACTATCATGACCGTGCTGAAGATGCCAAGGCTGCCTGCAAGCAACTTGATACCTACATTAATTACAAGAACTGTGAAGGTGTTGCAGAAATAGTTGTGGCGCCTAATATGACCGAAGGCTTCCGTGGAATTGTGCAGACCATGGGTCTCGGCAACCTTAAGCCCAATATTGTAGTGATGCGATATCCAGAAATATGGCGTCGTGAGAACCTACAAGAAATCCCATCCATATTTGTTGGTATAATCAATGACTGTATTGTTGCAAACAAGGCAGTTGTCATTGTCAAGGGCCTTGACGAATGGCCCAATGAGTATCAAAGGCAATATGGTACCATTGATTTGTATTGGATTGTGAGAGATGGCGGTCTCATGCTTCTTCTGTCACAACTTCTTCTTACAAAAGAGAGCTTCGAGAGTTGTAAGATTCAGGTCTTCTGCATCGCGGAAGAGGATACAGATGCAGAGTGCCTCAAGGCTGATGTGAAGAAGTTCCTATACGATCTTCGGATGCAGGCTGAAGTGATTGTTATCACGATCAAGTCATGGGATGTGCAACTGGAGGGTGGATCTCAACCAGATGAGTCAATGGAGGCACTTACTGCCGCTCAGCAACGGGTGTCTGATTACTTGGCAGAGATAAAGGCAACAGCAAAGAAAGAAGGGACACCATTGATGGCTGATGGAAAGCCTGTAATTGTGAATGAGCAACAAGTAGAGAAGTTTCTTTATACAACATTGAAGTTGAATTCAACGATATTAAAGTATTCTAGAATGGCTGCAGTTGTGCTCGTAAGCTTACCGCCACCTCCAATCAGCCACCCAGCTTACTGCTACATGGAATACATGGATTTGTTGGTCGATAATGTGCCCAGACTTTTGATGGTAAGAGGGTATCGTAGAGATGTTGTAACTTTATTCACATAGTTTCTGGTGTAGATGCTCGTTTTGTCCGAGCTTATAGCAGGTTAGACAATTCGAATCAAGCCCAACATGATATTTAATCCAACACGTGCTCAGTTGGATTAGGCCACTAAGACAGGCAGTTTTGAGCAGGAAAAGAGGGAACAGTTTGTAGAGAGTGGGGGGTATTTTGAGTTATCAAAAAACTGTAAATGGAGGGGGAGGTCAGTTTTTTTTAACTACTGGAAACCATCAGAAAGGGGATACTTCACGGGGACAGAACCAAAAAAAGAAAAGGGGGAGAGAACAAATAAAACAGGGAGGAAAGGATTGTAATTTTTTTTTCGCAACTATTGGAGAGCAATAGAATACGGTATCCCAGTTTTTATTTGATTCACCATTTTTGATGAACAACACATCATTATCGTAAAAAATAAAAATAAAACACCAACAAGAGCAATCAACAGAAAAAGAGACAGCAACCAATCGAAAACAGTGAAATCAAAGGATCTTCTTCCCCTTCATTTTTTCATACAGAGCTACAACAGATTTCTTTTTCGTTTTCCCTTAAGCAAGGTAAGTATTAAAACTCGTTTTTGTATATGAGGTATTTCTTTATATATAAAAAATCAGTGGAAATTTCTTGAGATATTCGATTTATTTTAAGTTCTAGTGCATGGTTATGTGAGTGTTTTGAAATATAAGTAAAATAAGGGAGGAAGTAGGGTCGATTTGGGTTAGCTTTTACCTCTATAGTTGTCGTGAGTGTTGGATTAGGAGGGCTCGAGCTTCATCGAGGGTTGCGAAAGCGTGGTGGTCTGCCGAGCATCGACGAGCTGTGGGATCTTGGTGTACATCCACCGTTCGTGAAGGGAGATAATCATAGAAGAGAGCAAGATGGCCATGGCAGCCGTTCGGTCGAATGGAAGAGAAGTAGAGAGGAAAGAAAGAGGAAAAACGGCCGAGGGTTAGGTTTAGTATGAGTTTAGGATTAGGTTTAGTTTAAAGTAGGTTTTATGTTAGGTTATTAGGGCTAATTACTTTAAGGTCACTGCGTATGCCGTTGATTTCCATTTTGGTCCTGAAGCCGAGTATTGTTTGCTTCGTAATTTGGTCTTTAACTTTTATGCACATTTGATTTTAGTCCTAAATGCTAGGGTATTTATTTTCTCTTGTTTGCATATTCGGTCTTCTAGTTTTGCATGTTCTATTTTAGTCCATTTTGTGTGTTTAATTGAATTTTGCAATGATTGTGATTCTGGCTCATTACTTTAAAAAGTTTCTATTTTGACCCCATTATTTATTCAAGTTAATATCTTGTATTTTTACGTTTGGTATGTAATTATGTGAATATTTTTATTTTCGTCCATAGATTTAAATTTTAAATACTTTAGTCATAATTTAGACTTTTTAAATTAATTCTTTAAATTTAAATTTATTTTAATATAGTCCATTCTTAGATTTGTTTTTAAGTTAGTTGTTTATATCTACTTTGCATGTTATGCGAATGATTTATGGTGACCCACATGCCATCATTCTTTTTATGATTTGTATGATAGCCTCACCTGCATAACTCAACATATTCATAATCGAATTAAGGGTAATACACTTTTAATTTAAAATTGTTTTAAGTGGGCAGTCATAACTGATTTGAGGTCCGCTTTTAATTATTTTAAAATAAAAGTGTATCCCGAAAGTGAAACAAAAAAAAATTGATTCATCACCTAAAATTTGGGAACGAGAGAAAAAGAAATGTTCGTTTATTTAAATATATCGAGAAAAGGTTGTTATATCTTTAAGATCTGGTCTCGATATTTGTAAATAATCGAACATTCTTTATCTTTCTAAAACGACTTGGTAATTTTAATTTAATTATTTTGAGTATTTTTGAATATTATAAAATTCACATTTTTGTTGTTTTACGGGATCAAAAATTAAATTAAATTCGAATTTATAAAGTTCATTGCAAAGACGTTAATTAATCGGCTAGGTACCGATTTAGGGCGTTGTGGGGGTGTTAATCCTTCCCCGCACGTAACCGACTCCCAAACTCGGATTTTGGTAACGCAGACCTCAATTTGTTGTTTTAATTAAAATTAATTTTTATTTAAAATAACAAGCATTTTTGGGTGCCCAATCACACCCTAATCAAAGATTGGTGGCGACTCTTTGAACTGTATTTTTTTTCGATCATAAAGGAAATCCAAAATTTTTCGAAACGAGAGGTTTTCAAATCACATTTGTTTTTAAATTAAAAATCAATTGAAAGAGGTAAATTAAAAATTAATATGGCTTTTAAAATCTCACCTTCTTTCACCTTTAAGAAAAAAATCGTTTCGACAGCTTGGCGACTCCGCTGGGGACATTTTTTTAGAGAGTCAAGCCGATAGTCGAGTAATTAATTGTCTTTGCAATTGAAAATTTCAAATTCGTTTTAATTTGATTTTTGATCCATTGTTTGGTTTTTAATAATTTTTGTTTGTTTGTATTTTGGTTTTTTAATTTAATTCGATTAACAATTAAATAGTTGTACTGATCTGTTTGCTAATGGTTTCAGAATAATTGTGTTTTGGGATTTGATTTTCAGTGTTTTTATTGTTTGTTTTTCGCTTTTCCTCACACACTGCACAGTTGCATTTTCATGACATGAGCTAAAACCCCGCTCCGTCCTAATTAAGTAGGAGTGAGAGACTATGCCCTCGTGTGGTTTTCACCTCCGCATGGGATAGTGGATCGCTCCTGGAGCTCATGCCTTATGGTCCTCGTGATGGTAATCACCTCCGCATGGACATAAGGAGGTGTGTTCCCTCGAAATTGAACTCGATCCCCTAAAGCCTATGATGGGCCAGGATTGAGGGTTCGGCAGCCTAAGGGGGCACCGGCAAGGACAATTCGAGAACCTATTACTTTAGAACCGAACCCATCATATAGTGAATATAGAGCCCGAACTTAGGTTGAGCCAAACCCGAGCCTTAAGAATCCCGTGAGGAGGGTACACAAGGAAAAGCTTTTTTGAGTCATTTATTTTCGTTTTTTCGAATAAATGCATGCGAATTAGATATCATGCGGTTAGGTTTATTTTTCGAACATGCATGCGAATTAGATATCATGCGGTTAGGTTTATTTTTCGAACATGTATGCGAATTAGATATCATGCGGTTAGGTTTATTTTTCGAACATGTATGCGAATTAGAGATCATGCAGTTAGGTTTTTGTGAATAACGAGGCATGGGGTAGATATCATGTTGGGTAGGATCTGATAAAGCATGATTGGTTAGTCAGCATATGTGGGTAGGATTTTTGAACAAATTATTATCCTGAATTAATTGCTTCATGTTTACTAACCGATCTTTTGTTGTTTTTGCCTTGTTTCTTTTCTGTTTTGCATTGCATTATCCATTACATGGTGTTGATTTGGGATCGATGTCCATATAGAAGGCCAGTAATATGGAACGAATGGTTCAGAAAGAGGTTGAGGATAATGTAGATGTTCTGAGGTGGTCGGAACAGTCCCAATTGACCAATGGAGACAGCGTAATGCCTGGATATGTGTCGGAGTTATTTGGTTACACTCACATCAACGTACGTCAGAATGATCTGAGTGAGCTAAGAGAGATATGGGGAAGATGGGAAGCAGTCGATAAAGAGATGTTTTATCAGTTGTACGGTGATATTCCCTATCTTCTGGATGTTCCTATTGACCGAAATCTGTTTAGAGCATTGGCGCAGTTCTGGAATCCAGCTTATAGTTGTTTCACATTTGGTAGAGTAGACTTGACACCAACAACAGAGGAGTATCAAGCTTTGGTCCGTTGTCCGAGGTCCCAAATGGATAGAATATATACCAAGCTGCCAGTCACTCCTTCATTTAAGAAGAAATTGCTATTGATGACCGGAATGAGTGAAGATTGGGTAGTCAGAAACATTAAGAAGAAAGGAGACAGCGAGTGCATTTCTTGGGCTGCTCTGAAAGAAGTAATTGCTCATCATCCTGATAAGAGAAAGAAGTTGGACTTGTTTGCTTTAGGGATTTATGGGCTCGTTATTTTTCCAAAAGTGTTAGGATATGTAGACGTATCAGTCGTTGACTTGTTTGAAAGATTAGACAAGCGTGTGGATCCAATTCCAGCTATTCTAGCTGAGACGTTCCGGTCTTTGAGTTCTTGTAGGCGCGAGGGAGAAGGACGCTTTATAGGATGTGCGCCTTTGCTGCTAGTGTGGATTCTGAATCATTTTAAACATGTTGAAAGAGCACCAGGACGAGTGTTTCTAGAGGGGTTTTCGCCTTTGAAAGATTTTCTTTCTAAAGAGTGGCCTGGGGGTTTTACTGAAGAAAAATGGATGGTCATCTTCAAGGATATCAGAGATGGAGATATTTTGTGGCGAGCTTCGTGGAATACCTCTTCGGATATACTTTACCAATGTGGAGAGCGAGATTTGGTTCCTTTGTCAGGTATATGGGGTTCTGTTGGGTATGCACCGCTACTAGTTTCCAGACAGTATGGATCGAGGCAGTTCATTCCAGCCACGTGGGACTTGTTAGGATCGGATTTTGCATTCAAAGGAGATCAGTATAAGGGTAAAGTTAAAGGGGTTACTGAGTCCTGGAAGCAAACTCGTCGTATGAATCTGTTCAATTATGATCTCGAGTTATCTCAAGAGTACGAGCAGTGGAGAAGCGGTCGAGTAAATGACAATATCCCGATGGTGAATCCTGAAAATATTCAGCCGGTGGAAGAACAGTTGAGAGTGGTGCCATCTCCATTAGAGTTAGCTAAGCGCGATTTCGAAGCAGAACGAAGACAATGGAGAATGACTTTACAGAAGCTAGAAGATGAAGTGTATCAAAAGGGATTGGAGATTGACATTCAGAAGAGTAGAGCAGATCGAATTGAAAAAGTAGAGAGGCAACTTCGGCTGGATTTTGACGATCTTCGGTCAACTTATTTGTGATATGTTTCAACTTTGTAATTGAACATCGTTCTAATATAAAGAGTTGTTCTAAGGAGTCGTTCCAGGATCAACACCCTGCATTTTGCATATGCATTTTTAATGCATTTAATTTTTGCATTGCATTTTATTCATTCATAATCATATATTTTATATTCATTAATAAATATCAGCGATAACAAAATGACTCTGTGACAGAGTAATACTGGAAAATCCCAAGTATATCTACAGAACCAGGAAGAAAGTTATAGAAGACAAACTTGCCCAAATTGAGAAGACTCAGTTGGATTTACAAGATAATATCAAGAAAATGCAAGAAGATATGATGAATGCCCAAAAGGAGATGTTTGCCATGTTTGCGAG